AAATTTATTTGTCTACTCCAAATCAAGGCTTGTTAGGGAACAAATGTGGATACTTGCTTCTCATGGAATCTTCTCTTTCCCACATATATTCTGGTCCATGCCGCGATGTCTAATGAACTTTTACAATTGGGATTTTGTTGTGCCTCAACTGCTTAACCTTATGGTCGAGGATTTCGATCGGTTCCTCAATGAAACGTAGTCGTTCATTAATTTGAATATCTTCCAGAGGTAGAACTAAAAACTTGTCGGCTAAACACTTCTTAAGATTCGACACATGAAATGTATCATGGATGGCACTAAGCTTCGGGGGTAAGTTGAGTTTGTATGCAACTGGTCCTACTCTTTCGAGTATTTCGAATGGACCGACATACCTTGGACTAAGCTTTCATTTCTTTCCAAAGCGCACAACCCCTTTCCACGGTGATACTTTTAAAAGGACTTTATCACCCACTTGAAATTCCAAGGGTTTCCTTCRRTTATYGGCATAGCTCWTCTRACGATCCCTTGCAGCTTTAAGTTTTTCTTGGATGATTGCGATTTTGTCGGTTGTCTCCTAGATAATGTCAGGCCTGGTCAGTTGYCTATCGCCAATTTCCTGCCAACTGAGTGGGGATCTACATTTTCGTCCATACAAGGCTTCAAAAGGTGCACATTGGATACTGGTGTGATAGCTATTATTGTAGGAAAATTCGACCAATGGCAGATGGATATCCCAACAACCTCCGAAGTCTATCACACAGGCTCGCAACATATCCTCTAGTGTTTGAATTATCCTCTTCGTTTGTCCATCCGTTTGAGGATGATATGAAGTGCTTAAATCCAATCTCGTGCCTAATGCCCTTTGAATCGATTGCCATAACCTGGAAGTAAAGCGACTGTCACTATCTGAGATGATAGAAACAGGTACTCCATGCCACGACACAATCTCATTGACATATAATTGCGTCAGCCTTTCTGTACTGAAATCTTCTCGAATAGGTAAAAAGTGCACGGATTTCGTAAGTCGATCCACTATGACCCAAACTGAGTCATATCCCTTCCTTGTTCTTGGTAACTTTGTAACGAAATCCATTGATATCTGATCCCATTTCCATTGGGGAATCTCTGGTTTCTGAATAAGACCAGATGGTTTCTGATGTTCAGCTTTTACTCTTGCACTGGTCATACACCGACTTACGTACAAGGCAACGTCTCTTTTCATTCCTGGCCACCAGTAATATTCTCTTATCCCTTTGTACATCTTATCGGATCCTGGGTGAATCGAATATTTGGAACGATGGGCTTCCTCCATAATTGTAGACCAGAGGCTGTCGCTCCTTGGTATCCAAACTCTATCCTTGAAGTAACGCACTCCATCCGCTCAGGTTTCGAATTCCTTCTCTAAGTGATGCAGGGTCTCATTCTTCAGATACTCTGATTTCAACGCCTCATGTTGAGCTTTGAGAATTTGCGTTTTTAGGTTCGTTTGAACCAACATTCCCATGGCTCGTACCCTTGACGGTTTCACCCTTTCCTTCCGGCTTAAGGCGTTGGCTACCACGTTAGCTTTTCCTGGGTGATACTTTATTTCACAATCATAATAGTTGAGAAGTTTGACCCACATCCGTTGCCTCATGTTCAACATCTTTTGATTCAGAATATGTTGAAGGCTTTTATGATCAGTGAAAACGATGCATTTGGTGCCGTAAAGATAGTGCCTCCAGATTTTAAGCACGAACACCACTGCCCCCAACTCGAGGTCATGCGTAGTGTAATTCTTTTCATGCACTTTGAGTTGCCTTGAGGCATACGCAATGACTTTGTCTTTTTGCATTACCACGCATCCTAAGCCTTGATGCAATGCATCACAGTAGACCACAAAATTTTCCGATCCCTCAGGTAGGGCTAAGATCGGTGCATGACATAGCCTCTGCTTAAGAGTCTCAAACGCTTCTTCCTGTTTCTCACTCCAAACAAACTTTTTTTCCTTCTGGGTTAAGGCAGTGAGTGGTTGCACAATTTTTGAGAAATTTGCAATGAATCTTCGATAATAGCCTGCCAAACCAAGAAAATGTCGAATCTCTGATGGGATTCTTGGGGCCTTCCAATTCTTAATGGCCTCGACCTTGGCAGGATCCACCTGAATCCCTCTTTCATTAACTATGTGCCCAAGAAATTGTACTTCCGGAATCCAAAATTCACACTTGGAAAATTTTGCGTACAATTTCTGGCCCCCGGAGTAGCTCCAATATTAACCTCAGGTGTTGTTCATGATCCGCCTTACCTGGAGAATAAATCAGTATATCATCTACGAAAACAATTACGAATTTATCCAAGTAGGGTCTGCAGACTCTATTCATTAAATTCATAAAGACGGCTGGTGCATTGGTTAGCCCAAATGGCATAACCATAAACTCGTAGTGACCGTATCGGGTTCTGAATGCTGTTTTGGCAATGTCCTCTTTCCGCACTCTTACTTGGTAATATCCAGACCGTAGGTCAATCTTGGAAAAGTATATTGCACCTTGGAGTTGATCGAACAGGTCATCGATTCGAGGAAGGGGGTATCTATTCTTGATGGTCAACTTATTAAGTTCCCTATAATCAATGCACATTCGCATTGACCCATCTTTCTTTTTGACAAATAGAACGGCGCACCCCATGGTGAGTAACTTGGTTTTATAAATCCCATGTCTAACAACTCCTGGAGTTGTTTTGACATTTCCTGCATCTCCGCAGGTGCCAGACGATATGGTTCCTTTGCCACTGGGGCAGCCCCAGGGATCAAGTCGATACCGAATTCGACTTGTCTTTGTAGGGGTAACCCTGATAAATCCTTGGGAAATACATCGGGAAACTCCCGAACTACAGGGACCTCGCCGATATCTTCTTCCTTGCCCTTCCTATCAATAACATGTGCCAAGAATGCAATATACTTCTTCCTCAAGTACCTCCGCATTTTTGTGCAAGATACTATCTTAGTTTTTCGATCCGACGTATCTCTTTGAATCTCTATTGGGTCATTTCCCTCTTGAGGAATCCGGATAACCTTTTTTTTACAGACAATTTCAGCTCGATTTTTGGATAGCCAATCCATGCCTACAACTATGTCGAAGCTTCCTAACCCGATAGGAATAAGGTCTATGCTAAAATCCTTATTGGCTAACCTTAGTGTACAATCCTTGATTATATTTCTAGCCCTAAATTCTTGGCCATTGGCAAGCTCAACAACATAAGCTTCTTTCAGCCTCTGGGATTTTAGGTTAATCGTTTGCTTAAAATCCAGGGATACAAAACTTCTATCCGCTCCCGAATCAAATAGAACTGACACGAATTCATTATTCAAAAGGAACGTACCTGAGACCACATTGGGATCATCTCTAGCTTCTTTGGCCCTGATTTCAAACGCTCTGCCCCGTGTCTGACTCTCTGGGTTCCCTTGACTAATCGTTCGGGCTTGGCCTGCATTGGGTCCTTGTTTCCTTTTCGGGTAAACGTTCCTCATGTGATATGGACTTCCGCAATCGAAGCACAATCGTTTTCGGCAATCCTTTGTTGTATGACCCCTGAGATGGCACCTTTGACAAGTGATGCAGTTTCCCCAGTGCGGGTATTTGCATCTATTGCACTTGGCCTTGTCTCTTTGATTCACCGTCTGAGTCTGTGCTCCGAAATTTCCTATCGTTCTCCTATTCTTGTCATGTTTTCCCCCAGGTCTTCGATTTCCATACTCATCCACCTTTCTTTTCCCCTTGGCGAATTCTCCTGAACGAACCGTGTTATTCGTGAGTTTGGTGGCAATATCGATGGCTTCTTTAAGGGTCTTCGGGTTGGTCGAGGTGATGTTTCCCCTAATTTCTGGTGACAACCCCCAAATATACCTCTCAATGCAAACTTCCTCTGGTGTCACTAGGTGTGGCACTAGATTTTCCAACTCATGGAATCGAGCCGTATACGCAGCTACATCATCCCCTTTCATTTCGTGATTCCATAACTCCATTTCTAGCTTATGGAGTTCGCTTCTGGGGCAGTATTCGGCCTTGAGGAGTTTCTTAAACTCCTCCCATGGAAGTTGATTAGCCACTTCTCGACCTCTGGCCTGTACCAATGCATTCCACCAGGTGAGTGCCCTTCCTTGCAACAAACAATCTGCATATTCCTTTTTATTTGTTTCATAGCACTTGCTAATATGGAAGACGGATTCCATACTCTCTATCCATGTCAGTAATCCTACAGCCCCTTCAGTCCCATGGAATTCTTTTGGATTACAGGATCTGAAGGACTTGTAAGTGCATTCTCTGGGTGGTCTAGGCTCAGGGTTTGATGATTGGTTCGCATTAAGCCCTGCCACCACTTGACTGACAATGTTGGGTAATGCGGCCAATAGTTGCTCTGACACAAGTCGTGCAACTTCGGGATTCTCTCTTCTTGGTGGCATTTTCTATGGCCTAAATCAGAAGGGAGTTCATCATTAATATAGCAATACTATGACGATATCTTCCAGTTATTCAATATGATGTAAGGGGCATTCATCTCATGGAGAGACATTCAAGCATTTATGTAACCACATAGCTTAAATTCATACACATTAAGGCTTGTCATAAATGAGCTCTTCTAAAAAAGATGTCATGCATTTGTAGATGATTATAATCACAAAAACAAAACCTCACATGTCTAAGAAAAAGAGTGGGTATTCTACCCCTAACTTTTATCCTAGAATAACATCCATCCTATCGCTATTCCCAACATCAATACCATCATCCCACAAACTACCAACCATCTATACAACTTCATAATTTCCCGCCTGGCTGCGACAGCAGCATCCGTGTTCCTTATTATGCTCTGGTGGTGTGCTTCCATCACATCGGACAGGTTGTTTAGGATGTGGTGGTGGTATCTCAGCCGGGTCTGGTGCATTTGCGTATCTGATGCAATTCTCTGCACTCATTCTCGTTCAGCCGAGTTCATACCCTGGGCATAGGATGCAAGCACTCCAGTCACTATTTGGGATAGCATGTGCCCCTGCGGTGGTCGTGATGGCTCTCCTCTTACTCTAGAGGAATTCTCAAATGTCACTCGTCAAGGCAGGGGAATGCTCTTCCTTGGCGTGACTCTGATACTTGAGCCATTATAGGTTCGTGGTGGAACGTCGGGTGCTGGCTCTGATTGGGGTAAGAAAGATGCTGGTGAAGAGGCAGATGTTCCACTGGTTGCAGTGCCCTTCTCATACGGATCTATCTCTTCATCATGGGCTAAGTTCCTTCTAGAGTGGCCAACCACGTAGCCGGATTCATCGACTGAGTATTCACTAGAATCGGATGACGCCATAGTGATCTGCGACATTAATAATCTTAATTACTAAATGCGTCATCTATAAATGCTTAGAGATACAGCCAAAACTTCTAAACAAGGCTAAGAGTGGAAATCAAACTAGACTCTCAAAATATAAAGCCTCTGGTTGTGCTACCAGAGTCTCTGGTTTCATGACCAGAGCTTCTGGTTCAACTAAAATCCTTAGCAAAAGATTTCTCATCCATCGGTCCTCTGGCAAGTCAATGGAATCCTAATTTATCATCCGCTGGTTCAACATCTACACTTAAAATAATTATGGAATTTTCGTCCATCGATCCTCTGGTTCCTCATAACGCACTTACCAGAGCTTCTGGTTACAAGACCAGARCCTCTRGTTCCATTTTCATACTTAGAAAAATACTAAGCAACCTATCCATCGGTCTCTTGTTTCCTTCCCAACAATGCTTCTGGTGTATTTATGAAAAATAAATCTAAGGAATTCCCATTCCTTTACCTCTGGTCCTTCTAACCAATGCTTCTAGTACCACATACACACTTTATAGCTTTATGGGATTTCTATCCCATTGCCTCTGGTACTTCTAACCAGAGCTTCTGGTGCCACTTAAACACTTAGAAATTTTATGAAATTTCTATCCCATTGCCTCTAGTCCTTCTATCCAGAGCTTCTAGTCCAACATGGACACTTAACAATATAAGGGTTTTTCTACCCAACGTCTCTGGTCTTTCTAGGGCAACGGATATTCATAGTGAGTATAATGCATAAATCCGTGCTTTTCATAACAATTTCTTTATGGGAGCATATCTCTACTACAGCCGATTAAGTTCTTCTTATTATATGTAAGTTAAACACAAGTGATCAGGCTCTGTTTAATCAACATATAATAATGACACCCGCTTTCAATTCATATGATTCCAAATTCTTGAAAATTCCCTTTAATAATATAACCAAAATTTTTATAAACCCCTTATTTACAAAACTTCCGACTCGAACTAAATCAGCTTTGCCACGAGTATGCTCCCATAGTACAACGTATCTTACTTACTTCCTGAAAAGCATGGAACATAAAACGAATCAACTACAAAGAGTTGGTGAGCTCACAGGTTTTCACATGCATAAAACATTTTAATGCATAAACCAAATATTTGCWAACTTATGCGAAACTTTTGCACTTGATAAATGTAAATCTTTCACGATGTAAAAACKTGAGACGCTACTGAGCCTYACCTGACCAACTTGCCCCATTAATTTACGAACGACCTTAAGTAGCCCGTACACTACTTAGRTCCCAYAGTTCGTTATAKTACTAATTCAGCGGTGGTCCAAATTCCACATGATTAGACCAAKAAAACATAGGTAGAGTGCACCCCTTTCTAGGTGGGACTGTCAACACAATAGCGGCTATCCACAATACCACGGCCCGGGGACATGCCCGAGTTAACAAGTAGCGTTTACGGATGGGGACTTTATTTGGAAACATACTCCCAAGCACATCAATTTAGCATTTATTCCACAGTGCAAAAACAGTTAACAAATCATAACATAGTAAACCCGACTAAGCAGTTCCTTAGTCCAGAGGTTTCAAACAGAGCTTGACTAAGCAGTTCCTTAGCCCAAAGATTTCAATAAAAACCATGCATAGTTTGTTTATTCTCATGCCTTTCCCCCAAACAAATAGTTAAAGCATTAAAAGTGGGGCCGTGAGGACTCACTGGTTTAAAGGTGAATATCCAAGATGATGACGTCTGCATCTTTCAACGCCCGCCCTATCTTCCTAAACAGGCCAACAACCAGAACTAAAATCACTTATGGGTTCATGACAATGATAAAGTTAAGTTGCATCCCATGCAATGCCATCGWGWTTTMAAAAATTAAAGTTGATGTTTATAATTTATTCTAAAAATAACTCAAAAATTATATATTAAAAGGAATCGAAATCCTAAACTCAAAAGATGATTTTTGGACAGATTATAAATTATGTTCCAACTATTTTTGGGGTTCACAAGACTCTAAAAAAAATTAGGAACCTTCCAAAAGTCATTTTTATCCAACTTGTCACATCATTTAAAATCATGAGGTTAGCCGACTAACCCAAATATCAAGAAGGTTTAGAGAGGTTTAAAAATTCCTCCTCATTACACTACAATCCTTGAGTTACACAACCCCCGAAACAGATTGCACATTCACCGAGCGACGATTATTTGGGGTCGAACTTATCATTTTCCAAAGGAAATCACCATTTCCAAAATAGCAAAAATAAATTTAAATTTTCAGGGATGAATCTTTCCCGACTCCATCGAGTTTTCGAAGAAGGTAAGGTAGATTAAAGATGCATGCAATTAAAACACAGCTTCGCGATTTAAAACTTCACATGCAATGAATTTTTCCTTCCCTACTTTGGAGTTTTAAACACATGGATCATAGATTATTATCTTCTTGGAAGACGTTTTCATGTCTTGGATGAATAATCTCCCCTCTATATAATTTCCAGAAAATTAAACACAAGATCGAAAAAGAAGGAGGATGCAAACTCAAGAGGTTTTACAAAAGTAAGATAATTAGTATCATACTTTTTCTTGAAGTTTTGGAGGATCTTCAAGATTGAGAAAGAATTTCAAAAGACTTGCACGATGGTGAAATCAGCTAGAGAGCGTTTGGTTTTTAGAGAGAGAGAGAAAATGTTTAGAGAAATTTCAAGCAGGCGATTCATGCAAATGGGAGTTCTTCATGGATGAGGGGTATTTATATGAGGATTTAAATAAAGTGAATTGGCTGGCCAACAAGGCCCAAACCAAATAAAACCTTTGTTTTTCCAAAAGAATAAGCCCACTAAAACCTTTACCCAAAATAAAATGGCTTAATAAAACCCAAAACTCCATCTTTTGATAAAACAAGTGGACATTCAAATGGAACTTTTGCAATTTAATTTAAGGAAAACTCATAACATTAACTTTATTTTTATCTAGAGCATTTTCAAAAATATTTGGCATTGCATAAGATAACTTTATCTGATCTCCTACCAAAGCGCGACCTTCCCAACAAAATTTGGGAGCTAATACCAAAAAGGTTGTAATCACTTAAGACTAGATCTTAGAGAAATATAATTTCTAATTATAGGATCTGCAATGAGGTGCTAACCTGAAGCTCAGAAGTGACGAGATGTCACAATAATGGAAGACTGGAACATGTAAATAATGTTCGCGCCACTTCCACCAATGTTCCGTTCTTTCGTTCGACGACACCATTTTGTTGCGGTGTCCGGGCTGCCGAAAACGTATGTGAAATACCCATGGATTCTAGGAATGAACCGAGTGTGTTGTTCTTGAATTCAGTTCCGTTGTCAGTTCTGATTTTCTGAACTTGAAGTTGCAAATTATTCTGAACTGTCTTCAAGAATGAAATAATTGTTTCGGCCGCTTCTTCCTTTGATCTCAGAAAATGAACCCAGGTATATCTAGAATAGTCATCTACTATAACCAGCACATACTTTTTCCCATTGATACTTTGGACTCTCATAGGACCGCAAAGATCCATATGAAGTAAGTGTAAAGGACGTTTGGTATTGAACTTTGTCTTCAACTTATGTGAAGCTTTCTTCAATTTACTCATCTCGCATGCACCACATACATGGTATTTATGAAACTTCAGTTCTGGGATACCTTTTACCAAGTTGTCACATACCAACTTGTTAAGATACTTAAAATTCAAATATGAAAGTCGTCGATGCCATAGTAAATTCTGCTTCAAGGATGCCTTGGATATCAAGCAGACATCACTATCTACTTGTGTATTGGATAGGTCAATTGTGTAGAGATTTGATCTTCTGATTCCAGCTAAGAGCATCTTACCATCAGTAGTTTGGATGCTGCATTGGTTAGCTTTAAAACAGACTTCTAGATTTTTATCATAGAATTGACCTATGCTAAACAAATTATGTCCAAGTCCTTCGACAAACGACACTTTCTTATAGTTAAATTCCAAGAGATTACATCACCGTATCCAAGGATAGGTGCGTATTGATTGTTTCCAAATCTTACCATACCTCCAAAAGATTCAACATAGTTAGCTAAGAGTTCTTTTCTACCAGTCATGTGCTTAGAACATCTGGAGTCTAAGAACCACACATG